GGTCCAGCCGTAGCTTCGCTTCAGGGCACACCAGTTTGGGGAAGAAGTGCTCCTGGGCAACTCCGCGCTGGGGGGACTGCACACCGCGGGGCAGAAGCAGTGACAGGGACGCCCATGGCCACGGGAAGGAAGCACAGGTCTCAGCCCCCACAACCCCTCTGTTAGCCCCACTGCCCCCCTGACAACCCTCAACAGTCCCCATCAATTCCCCAGTCTCCCCCTCGACTCTCTGCCTTCCCCAGTGCCCCCCAACAGCCCCCGCTAACTCTACAGCTCCCCCAGGGACCCTCGAGCTTCCCCAGTGCCCCCCTCTAGAGCCTCCCAGTGCCAACCCACAGGACCCTACTGCACTCTCACAGCCCACAACCGCCCCTCCACTTCATTCCCCACTTGCTGTCCCACCCTGAGCTGCCTTTTACCTGAGGCACAAGGCAGCCACGGGGTTGGCGAGGGCCTGGGGGGCCCCCAGCCCTGGCAGGGGCTCGGGGGCTGCGGGCTGAGCGTGGGTGCCTGACGTGGAGTCCATGGCCTCCGCGATCTCCTTTGACTGCAGAAGACTTTTCATCCCCGCATTGGCCATGGCCCTGTGGGTGCAAGTGCCTCCCGGAGAGGTTACCAGGGGTCTGGCTGCCCCTGGGCACAGGAGGGGGACTCCTGCCTGTCGCCCCCCTGACCTCACAAGGCTCTGTGAGGTCACCTTCCATCCCAGCCCTTCCCCTTCCGTACCTCAGGTTACCCTTTGGATTGCTGGTTTAACCATTTCTATGCCCAAAGTAGCCACCAAAATACTTAGAATCGCAGGATATCTTGAGTTGGAAGGGATCCATAAGGATCATCAAATCCAAATCCCTGCTCATCAAGTTGAACCAGTACGAAACGTGGGGCCAGTGAGGGCAGGAAGACTCCAACTCAAGAAAGGGCTGAAGACAACGAAGGAAGTGCTAAAGGGTAAAGAACACACAATTTTTGGCAGATTCTTCTGCTACCCTCTCTCGGCAGAGAAGTGGGATGACATAGGTGGAAGCTTAATTTTCACTGGAAGACTCTGTCAGACCCAGCTGGTAGAAAAAGCGCCAGGGTGTGTGAGGGGGTGCGGGCAGGAGCTCGCTGTGACACCCTTCCTTTGAGCAGACCACTCCACAACCCTCCCTCCTGGCACCTACAGCCTCCCTCCCGGCACTGTAAGGCCCACGTTGTCCTGCTGCCAGATAAAAAGTTGAGGAACAGGGATGAGGGATCACCAGGACTTGGCAATAATGCTCAGTGAAGGCAGAAGAAACTCCCATACGAGTAGCAACTGGAACAAACTGGGCTAAGGAGAAAGTAAATGACAGAGAAGCTGAGGCGATGCAGAATAGAGACTCTTTTATAGAGGAGAGAAAGCAGCTGGACATCTCGCGTCGTTCGCCGCGGGAGGAAATCAGCTCTTGGCCATCAGTGGTGCTCACCAGGGTCATCTTTCAAGGGTGGAACAACTTCTCCCGTCTCCAAAATTCTGTCCCCCTGATGGAACGAGAGAGCACGGTGAGCGTTTTCTCCCACACCCAGCCTCTTCCTTCGCCCGGCACAGCCTTTCAGTTCAGCTGTAGCTGTCCCCACTTCCAGGCAAAAAAACCCCAAACTCGGAACACTCTCATTCCCTCAGCATTTCCCAGGATGCTCAAACAACATGGCAGCCAAACCAGCTGAAATCTGTACTCGCTTTACCCCTTTCTTTCCAGCTACAGAACAGCAGCCAAACATTTAGAGATCATTTTAGTTTAAAACCGTACACGGGGCTCACAGCACTGCGTAACCACCTTCGGCACAGCACGGCTGCGAGCCAGTCTCCAAACCCACGGCCTGCAGCCCACGGAAAGCTGCGTAATCCCTCAAAAATCCATCTGATGCCCAGCTGCTGTTTGTTACAGCTTCAGGCACTGCCCTGGCCGACTGAGCTGGCCTAACTGGAGCCAGTAATTAGGCTGAAGTCCGAGGCGGACAGCTTGGCCTTCACTATGTTGCTAACAAGAAGAGCTAACTCTGTCCCAGCTGAAACCAGGACAGGTTGTTAGGGATGGAACTCCCTATTTTATTTCAGATAAAGCACATGTAGGCAGGTGTTAAGCAAAAAAACGTGCAACTGGCAGAAACAGCAGAGCTAAACTTATAGGAGAGTATTTGCCCACTGACTGGCTACACCAAGCAACGACTCGTCTAAAAACCAGTGAAGACCAAACAACCTGATCCTTTCCACTTTGCAAATGGAAGCCCAAGCCCAGGGTGACGTGACTCTGTCTCTCTGGGGACACCAGAGCGTGGGGGACCCTCAGGGACACCTGAGACCAAGCTCGTGCGGCCGGAACCGCCACCTGCAGCACTGAACTCCTCCCAGCTCCTGACAATCGTCGTGTCCGTCACTCCACACGTTACCAATCACGCTTTCACCAGGGCAGTGAACACCCAACCCCCTTCCCAAAGACACACAGTAATTAACCTTTGCATTCAACCTGTTCTTAGCGAAACTGCGGCGGGCACGCGGCTGGGCTCGCCCCTTTTCGGGGGAGCGGGAGCCGTGGCTTTCACCAGCACTTCACGCCCTGATGGATCCAGCGCTTCAGCTTCCCAGGAAACCTGGGCACGAGCAGCAAACTGAGAAGCAAACAGGAAAGCTTCCCTGTGCGGTCTGTGTGTGCTTCTCCAGAGAGGGAACCTGCTCCAGTTGCTACAGGAGATGCCGCAAGGGAACGTTTCCACCCAGTGCGCTCAGCCAGGTACTAGTGTGCCGCTGCGCAGGGAGGGACCGCTGAAACGGGGACTGTCTGCTCTGGGGACGAGAGGAAAACTGCTCAAAAATACTGTGACTGTGCTGCTCCAGGGCAACCTGCCCACGGTATCAAGCTCATCCTTCTGAAATTCTCCCTGCGCAAACCTGCACCTCTCCCCGAGTCGCCCCTTTTCTGCCTGTTTTACCAAGCTGGGAGATAAAACAAGCGTGAACAGACTTACTGGGAATATCCGTGGATTTGAGACAACAACACCGTGCGGCTTTTTCTGAAAGGGGGGAAAGAGAAGAAAGGGAAGGATTAAAGAAAAAGGAGCGTTACCCAGCTGAAGTACAAAAGATTTCCAAACCAGGGACAACAACCGTCCTAAAATCCTCCACCCTACCTGCTGTAGTGGAGGGTGTCCCTGCCCATGGCAGGGGGGTTGGAACTGGATGGTCTTTAAGGTCCCTTCCAACCCAAACCATTCTATGATTCTAAAACACAAGGCTCGTTAAGCCGGGTTCTTTCCACTAGTTAAAGCAACACCCCAGGCTAATAAAATTACAGCTCCCAAGCAAGATAAGACTGTAGAAGTGGAGGGTCTGCCCATCCCCAGTGCACTGGCCATCTCCCTTCCCCACGCCAGAGCTGCCGTCAGGTTATCCCCAGGGTCACCGCTCCTCCAGGAAAGCGACGGTTGAGCCA